GGGCGGGCACCTCGGGGGGCTTGGGGTAGGCCAGGGGCCCCAGAGTGCTGGGCGCCGGGTAGGGCGCGATGCCCACCTGCACGGCGGCCGGCGACAGCTTGGTCCGCTTGCCCTCGGCGCTCTTGAGCACGCTTTTGGCGGGCCCGGCGGCTGCGGCGGGGCCCGAGGAGGAGACGGCGGCCTTGACGATGGCCAGCAGGCCCTGGTAGCCGGCGGCGTGCTGCGGGTACGGGCTGTAGCGCTGGCCGCTCATGTCATAGCCGTTGACGGTGCGGCCGAGGTGCTTGTGCTGCGGCACCCGGATGTTGGTGGGGAAGATCTTGATGGACAGCGGGCTGTTGGCCACCTTCTCGGCGTAGGCGTCCAGCTCGGCCGGGCTCGGGTAGCGGGACGAATGCATGGAGCTGGCCGCCGTCTCGCCTGCGGGGACAGGTCGGAGAGGAAGGCACCGGTGAGAGCCGCCCCCGTGACCGGGGAGGCCGCAGCCCCGCCGCCGCCGCCCGCTGCAGGGGGGCGGGGCTCACTCTGCCCCTCCCTCCGTCGGTTCCCCACCCAGCCCCTGGCTCCTCCACTTCGTTCCTTCCACGCTCCGAAGCTCCGGATCTGGTGTCAAGTAGGGGAAGGAAGCCACACGTTTTGTAAGCTGAACTTTCACAGACCGAGCGCGCTCCTGTAACACCCGTGTGCCCGAGCGAAGGGACGCTGCCTGTCCCCCAGAGCCCCCTGCGTCCCCGCCCAAGCGCACCGCTGTCCTGACGTCTGACGGCAGTGTCTGTACAGGGAGGATGGAATCCTGCCATGCGACCCCGCCGGCATCGGCCTCTGCCACTTAGGGTGGCTTGTGGGATCCCCCCGGGGGCGGGGGGGCGTGGTTCGTGCTTTCTCACTGCTCCGTGGTCCTCGTGTGGGACGCGACATCACAATGTACTCATCCTTGCTACTGCTGATGGCGTTGGCGCTGATACACTTAGCACCACACGTCCTCATGCCCACGTTATCCAGGGACTTCTGTTGGGACTATGCCTAGCAGGGGGATTCGGGGCAGGTGAAGATGCAGCTCTAGGAGAAAATGCCCGCAGTTTGCCAAAGAGAATGTGCCAGGCTCTCCCCCCCCCCACCCCCGCAGAGCACAGGAGTTCTGGGGGCTCCACATGCTCAGTGATGCTTGGTGTCACCTGCCTTAACACCACACCGCTGGGAGGCCATTCCTCCTATTTCTTCATCATCCTCTCTGTGCCTCCCTTTCCTCACCTGTAAAACGGGGCGATGAGGGCCTGCCGAACTCTGTGGGACGGTTAAGCGTGCTGCTCCGTGAATGGAGCCCAAGGCCTGGAGCCGGGGGGAACGTGGTGCAGGCAGGAGCTGCTCTGTTGGCTTCCACCGGCTGCTCCCACGCCCGTGCTCGGGCCCCGGCTGCCCAGCCCCTCCCCAAGTCTGCCTGTCACCACTGCCTTTTCTGCACGCTGTCAGCATGGGGCTGAACGGTGCACTTTGTGTGACAGGCTGACTGTCCCACTCTTGGTGGCACAACTGGCCCCTTCCATGGGGGAGGCGGGTTGCTGTGGGAGGACCCCCCTGTCTCCCATCCCAGGCCCCTCCCTGGGCCTGAGACATTCCTCGGTGCTGCCCAGGACTGTCCCTGGGTGGGGAAAGGAGCAGGGGCCTCCATCAGCTAGCTGGGAAGACCCTGGGCTTTCGAACCAGCTGGCTGGGTAGAATCCTGTCTGCTTGTGGGGCTTTGTGGCTGTGGGCAAATGGCTTGCCTGGCTGAGCCTCAGTTTCCCCACCTGTGGAATGGGGATCATGATTGTACCAGTCCTGCAGGGTGGCTTGGAGGAATGACTGTGCCAAGGGGCTGAGCAGAGGGTGTGAGGCATGCAGTCGGTGCTGGGAGGGGGTGACCTCTCTGGGTCCGGGAGGGGGCGAGGGGACCCCTCAAGGTCTCCACGGCACACTGCCTTCCTCCTGCCCCATGAGCACCCCTGGGGCCCACCAGTGACTCTTGGGGGGTACTTGAGAATGAGGCTTCCTCACTCTGAGCCTCGGTTTCCTCATCTGTAAAATGGGGGTGATGCTGCCAGGGACACTGCCTCCCAGGGTGGCTGTGAGTTGTAATGAGTTGTGTGTGGCGGGGTGGCGTTAGCGGAAGCAGGTGCTCTCTACGCGGGAGTGGTAATACCCTCCGCATCTGCCTGGGATAAGGGCCTTCCTGGGGAGGAAGGGGCAGGGGCTCGGGCTGCCCTTCCTCCTGACCAGCACAGGTGGGCCTGGCATGGTGGCTGGGGTGGAGTGCTGACCCCACCACCTTCCTCAGGCCTCCTCCCCATCCGTTGGAAGGCTTCACCCCACATCCCATCCTTCCCAAGGCTCACCCCCAATCCCCTTGTTGGGCTCACAGCCAATCTGAGCAAGGTATGTGCTGTGATAGGGAGGCAAGGCATTTTGGGATGCAGGGGGGCCTCACTCAGGCAGGCTTTGGAAAGCGAGACAGCTTTCTAGAAGAAAGAGCATCCCAGTTAAGGCAATGATCTTGAAAGGGGTGAGGAGGGAGCAGAGAAACAGATTTCAGGCAGAAGAAACAGCACAGGCAAAGGTCCAGAGGTGAGGAAGCCTGTCCCGAGTGGGAAGTGTAAGTAATTCAGAATGAGAGCAGAAGCCCAGGGCAGACAATCGTGCGTGAGAGGCGGCCTGGGAGGGCATCGGGCTGGTGCAGAGGAGCCTCTTCACTGTAGGGCAGTGGTTCTCCGCTCCCCCCCAACCCCAGGGCACATTGACCAGTCTGGTGATGCATTTGGCACTCACACTTGGGTTGGGGAAGCCTCCACCCCAGCGACTGGTGTCCAGTGGGTAGTGGCCAGGGATGCCCCGGGACATCCTACAGTGCACAGGACTGCCGCCTCCACAAGAGTGTTGGAGAAGCCCTGTCCCAGGTGTTATGCAGGGGAGGGGTAGGGGCAGGCATGTGTGTTAGAAAGGTCATCTCGCTCTGCCCTGAGGTGCAGGAATGTGGTCTGACCTGGGCAGGGCAGCAGGGAGGGAAGAGGTAGGCAGCCCTCAGCATCCCAAAGAGACTGGGCCAGTGCCCCTCCATCTGGGCTGGGCAGGTGGAGCTGACCCCTGTCAGGCCACAGGCCTCCATCCTGACCCTGCCTGGGGCAGCCCCCCCCTAAGTGGCCTAAAATAAACTCAGTGTGGAGAATGGAAATGTCACTTTGGCCAACGGGGGAATCTTTCTCCGAGATTGGATTTAAACTACATTATACAAGCAATTTCATGGGCACTTAGCGCCGCTCGGAGAGTCCCGCAAAAAAGGGACCAGCTCTTCATTTACCAGCCATAAATCAGCAGTTGCTATAATGAGCACAAAAATGTCACTTTTATGCAATTTTACAGATGAACAAAACTGGTGAAATTAACTGTGGTAACCTACTATAGTCAGCAAAAGCAGCTGCCGGGGAAAAAAATTACATCTGTGTGTATTTTTGTTCCTCTTAAACCCTCTTCCCAAGCAGGTTTCTGCCATTGTGGTGTGAAAACTCATTTGTCCTCACCATTATACTTTCGTTTGGAGTTTATCTTGAGTATCCAATGAGCCACCAACTGTGAAAATGATTAAATCTACAAAATCTATCTAATGGATGGAATAAATTAGGTGTTTAAAACCTTTAAGAAGAAGAAGGAGGAGGGGGCGGATAAAAAGAGTCCTGCCTGTTACTGGTTCCCATTCACTGAGAGGAGGAGCCCGTCTGGGCCCCGGCCGGTCAGCAGCGCTCCACAAGGCTGGGTTGGGGCCTCCAGCATTTGTGGGAGCAGATGGGGGCCGCCCTTTGGCTGCACTGAGTACGGGCTAGGCTCTGCGCCCACAGCTTTTCTCGACGTCTCTTGTTTGGAGCACCTGACCCCTCTGAGAGCTGGGAGGGGTCCCCGTTTTACAGAGGAGGAAGGAGACGAGTTGTGGCATTTGGCAGGCAGCCTCCAGGATCTACCATGCTCCCTGTGCAATCCTCCTCACCTCACCTGGTACTCACCCCTGGGTACAGTCTCCTCCCAGGCCAGGCGACCCGTGGGACCTCTGAGGTCCCAGGGAGGAGACACAGTGTGACTGTCATGGACGCACTGGGCTTCCTCCTCACCCACTCGAATCACTTGCTCTGGGAGCAGCCCACAGCTACGTGAGGTGGCCTTCTGGAAGCAGGTCCTCCAGCCCTGGTCAGGCCTTTGGATGAGTGCAGCACCAGCCAACACCCTGACTGCAGCCTCAGGGGAGACACAGAGCAGAGCTACCCAGCGAAGAAGCCGCCCCTGAATCCCTGACTCACAGGAACCATGAGAGAGAATACAGGTCTATCGATGTCTTAAGCCACTAAGTTCTGAAGCAACCAGTTAACACAGCAGTAGATAACTAGCACCAGGACCCCGTTGGCAGACGAGGAAGGGAGCTCCCAGCCTCGGAGGCCACACAACTGGGAGAGGCGCAGAGCTGAGCTGCAGACCCAGTCTGCCTTCCTTCCAAGTCCCCTCCGCCGCACCTGCATCCCAAGGAGGGGCCTTTAAGTCAGCCTGGGGGCCGAGAGAGGCGGGAGGTGAGCCCCCAGAGGCCGCAGGCCAGGCAGCTGTCACCCCTGCCCTCGGCCCGCTCCTGGAGCCTGCCGGCTGGCAGCCCACAACAAACCTCACCTGGGCCTGTGCTGAGGGTTCTTTAGTGTTGTGACTGCGAGTGCCGGGGGGGGGGGGGGGCGTGGACCCGCCCCTGCACGTGACCAGAGTCCCTTGTCTCAAACCTGGCCTGGCTGCAGTGTCTCTGTGGCCCTGAGAGTCTACAGCTCCTACTCTACCCCTTGTTCCTGAGGGGCTTTTTCCTGAGCCACCCTAGGTGCCTCAGACCCAGCCTTTCCTGCCAAGGGATGGCAGCCATGGCTTGGGGGTCTCTGGCCACTTGGGCCAGGCTGGGCCCCCTACCCTGGAGCTTGGTGAGGGCTCTAGACTCTCCCCTGGATGGGGGGGGCAGCCACAAGTTCAGCCCAGCTACACAGCCCCATGTGGTCAGGGTAATGACACAGACAGGGCCTCACAGAAGGAGCCAGCTGAGCCAGCTGTCCCCAGTGGTAAGGATGGGTGGCAGGGCTCACAGGGTTAACGTGTGGCAGGCGAGGGGGGGCAGCCTGCTGGGGCACCCCAGGGCCTCTCTTCAATGCTACTCCCTCCCTGCCTTCCCTGATACCTCCAGCTGGACTAGGGGACCCCCCCCCGGAGGTCCCATCAGCACCTGGGCATGGCCACCACGGGCACCACAGCAGATCCTGGTGGCCCTGGGCTTGTCCTTCTGCCCCAGCAGACTCGGGCTCCCTGAGCTGGCCTGTTCACTGCCGTGTCCCCAAGTGTCTACAGGACACAGAGTAGGTCTCCGGGAATGTCTTACT